CTCTCCACCCTGCCAGCCCTTGGATCTGCAGCGGGGCTGGGAAACCCACTGAGCATCCTTTGTAGGAAATCGTCTGGGAATAAAAGATTTTTGTGGGTGGGGGGAGGAAAAAATAGAAGGAAAGTGGGTTTCAGTTTCTAAACCCAAAGGATGTGGGTTTGGGTGCCGGGAAGCATGAAGAAGGGGGTGTTCTGGCATCACAGTGTCACCGAGAGATTGGGGATTTCCACCGAAAATGCTCAGTGGGCGGAATCCTCCCCGACTGCATCCTCCGTGCCTGCTGCATGTATCCGGCATGTCAGCTTTTAGAAGAGTCTCAACCAACCTGTACCAACACAGGAAGATGATTTTGTCCTTGCGACCCCCCCGAGAAGCCCCTTTCCCTGCTGCAGGCAGCTGCAGAGCCAGCGGGAGCGAGTCCTCTGCGATGCCCCGAGAACAGCCCCGGCAGCCTCAGAGCCGGAGCGGGATGCCAGAGCGGGGCACATCCTCGGCACAGATACCCCAACCATGGGCTGAGGATGCTCAAACCATCTGGTGAGGCATCACCACTGCATTAAGTCTGGCTCTTTAATTTCATAGCCCAGGCTGGGGTGGAGAGACATGGAGAGGCACAGCCCCGCTCACACCCTGCCGATCCATTGCCACCGGGATGGCTTTTCAAAGCCATTAAGGATGTCCAGCCACTCATGCCACTGCCAGATGCTCTGGGGCTGAGCAGTGATTGCAGAGTCCCAGAAGACTCCAGAAAGTTGGGAATCTGCAGCAGGGGGGTTCTCCTCCTCCCCACCCCGTTGTCTTGCCTGTTCCTGCCTGCACCATGAGCTGAGCTGCTGGAGACCCTGCCCCAAACCTTCCTGCCATTGCTTGCCACTCGTCCCCACATCCCTTCTCCACTTTACCTCCTTGCCAGCATGTTGGGAAACGCATCCCATAAACCCGAGTGTGCCCCAGGGATTAATGAGCACCCCGCGATTTCCAGCTCATCAGGCTCATTCATTTTACACTCCTGCTCCCCTCCCCAGTCCCTTACCTCAGCCTGAACTGTCTGTCTGTCTACGCTATGCACACATGGGTGCTCAATGGTGCAGCCGGGAACCCCCAGGAAGGCACCCCCAGCACCCAGGGGGGTGCTTTGCTTCCAGTGTGGGGGCACTCACAGGCTCTGGGTCCCTTTTTGGGGGCAGAGGAAGGAGGAGGGCAAGCGGCAAGAGAGCAGGGAGGATGGAAAGATGGAAGGAGGTGGATGGGTGGAGGAAGAGGAGGCGATGGGAGGGGTTACCTGTGACAAGCGTCCGACCTCCAGGTAGAAGCAGATGATGAAGGCGTTCCAGCCGACCCACAGCACCAGCCACACTGCGTACTGCCGAGAGGAGAGCCGGTCAGGGCATGCCACGCCAACACACCTTCCCCGCTCCATCTGTCCGCCCCGCTCGCTGGATCCCGCGGGATCCACAGGGATTTGGGTTTGGATATGGGAAGGGACCTGGGGCTGAGCCATCCCGGGGGGAAGGCACATGATGCTGCACCTGGGTATGGGGAGCAGCATCCGCTGCGGTACCTACCATCATGAGGTATTTGGATCTGTACTGGATGGTCCCAAAAATACCCAAAATAACGGCCATGATGTGTAAAAAATTAGCCAGGATGGGCACCCACTGGTAGCCCAGGAAATCAAAGATCTGCCTCTCCAGCGCCGCTACCTGCAACAGAGCAAAGGAGGGTTGTGGGTATTAAAGCAGGGCACCGGTCACCGCAGCAGCTCCTGGGATGCCAAAGGCAAAGAGCAGCCGGTAATTAATGGGAAATCCCATGGATAATTAGTTGCAATGGGCTGAAACGTCTGCGTGATGGATTGGTCGGCGGTGGGCGAATGCATGGCAGCGAGTGAGGGGTTATTAGGAATAAATGGAGCTGAGAAGGGGGAGCAGGGAGGTGTCAGCTTGTTGCCCCACCAGCACCCTCCGTGCCTCTGATTCCCCATCACTCAGGTCTCAGGCACCGATGAACATCACCCTCCAAACTGGGTTTATCCCTGAACTCAGCTTATCCAGGGAAAACCTCCTGCTTGGGCCATGCACAGGGTCCCCCCGTACTCTGCCAGCCTGTCCTCACCAGCGTGTCGCGTGCCTTCCCATTTAACGCCGTTAGGTTTGATCATCGTTACCTTTTGTAACACATAAATAAGGACGTGACGCAGCCTAATAAATCGCACGCACGCAAAATCAGAGATGGCAGCTGGCGTGAGCTGCCTGTTATCCCTGCACTTACTTATGGCTCTATTTGCCACTGGCTCGGGGTCTATTACTCTTAATTACAGGATTAGCCTCAAGGAAGGTGTTAACAAAGGTGAGGTGGGAGTGCTGGAGCATTCGCCGATGGTTTTAGGTTTAAAAATGGAGATTTGATGAGCTAATGCTTTTACAGGGAACTTCTAGGGAACTTTGGGGTGCATCAGATGCCGCAGTCCCCAAGGACGCAGGGACAGAGCTGCTGCAAGATGTGTCTCCAGCAGCCTTGCAAAGCAAAAAAACTCTTTACATTTATCTTTCTGACAGCCCAGCCCTGTCTCACTGCTCTTTGAGATGCCCCAGATTCACCCAATAAACGCCATGAGCTTTGAGGCCCCGAGTCCTGCCTGCAGCACCATGCCTCAGTTTCCCCTCCTCGTGCAATGACTCTCATCCTGGCAGAGAAGTGGGAGTTTATCCTGAAAAGCGCAGGACAAAACGGGCTTTACATCCTCCTCTCCATTCACTGGCAGCTCCCCCAGTGATCGGGATTCAGGGGAGCTCCATCCTGCTGCTCCCCGAAGCTCCCGTGAGGGTTACGGCTGCAGGGCTGCCCCAGGGCCCTGCAGCATCCCTGCCCATCCAGCCCGACTTAATGTGTCCTAATTACAGGGGGGGAACAAATGAGGTGGCAAAAGTCCTTGTGCCACCTTGTGCCACAAAAAGTTTTGTGAGGATGAGCCATGGCTATGTCATATGTGTGCAACCACCAGCCGTGCCTCCCTTTCCCCATCCATAAAGCATCACACACCCGAATTGGCTCAACAAGGGCTCCAGTTAACACCTACGAATGCCCAGCTCCAGCCTGCCAGCAGGCAGAAAGCCAAAGGCAGAGCCAGGACCATGGTAGCCCATTCCCTACCCTACCCCAGGACAGGATCTGCAGGATCTGTGCCGGCAGGACCCTGGTTTCAATTAAAGGCAACGCAAAGCTACGGAGCAGCCGTGCCTGGGCAGCCTGTGGATCCGCAGGGCGGGGACCAAGGCTGTTTGCACTGAAGCTTAATTCACTTCCACACTATTTAAACTCTCTGAGGAAACAGCCTTTGGAAATACTTACAACGAGGCTGTAAATCTTTTAAATTGAGGAATGTAAATAATAAATGATACAAGGAGCACGGTGCTCGGGGTTTTATAGCGAACCATCGATCTGGTGGCTGTTGACAGAGCTGCTTAGCAGGAGCTAGATGCGAAGGCTGCGAGTTTTGGGTTCTGGTGAGTCTTCAAGGCAAGGGATGGGACTGGGAAGAGCCTCTGAGCATCCCATGGAGCTGGAGTGATGTGCTTACACCCACATGGCTCCTTAATTCCAGCCCATCAAGCTATGACAGGCTGAAGGAGAAGGAGCTGGAAGGAGCCTGGTTGAGCCAAATCCTTATTCGCCCAAAGGAGAGGCAAAATTAGTGGCAAACACCACAGTCTCCCCACGGATGAGCGAGTGTTGCTAATTGCACTGAAAAACCCTGCCAGAGCTGCCCTGGCAGGTAAAATGCTGCTTTGTGCATGCTGCTATTTAAGCATATTCCCCCTGTGTGAAAAGCAAATCTTATTTTTTCAGCCTCGTTGGATCTTGCTTAAAGTTAAGGAAAATAGGGAGACACAGCAAAAACACGGTGAGTCTGCAGCTGCAGCTCCCCTGGGACTTGCTGCCTGCAAAGTGCCACGGACATCCCAAGGGCAGGGCAGCAGCCATGTGGGCTTCACTCCCCATCGTGTGTGGGTAAACTGAGGCATGGCCACACTCCCAAGGGAGAGGGTGGCACAGGTTTGGCACTGTGGGGCTGAGGGAGCACCGTCTTCACCTCAGACGGATGCTCCGGGCTTGGTCCAAGCACTCCACGCTGCTCGCTTGCTGTGGACCCCAGGCTGGTCTGGCACGTGGAGCATCCTCGCCTGATCCTTTGGGGCTGGGATGTCTCTCGGCAACAACCTTCAAGACACCCAGGCTTTGCACGCAGTCGCCATCAGCCACTGCTCAGCAGTGGCCCTAACGACGCACGAGCAGTGAGCAAACCCGGCTTCGGGGCTCGTCATCACTTGCGAGCACGGCAAGGGGCTCTGCGAGCAACCTCTGAGCGGCTTGGGGACCAGCAGCATCCACCCCCCCAAACCTAGGTAACCTGTGGAGCTCAGAGCATCCTCCCCAGGCTGTCCTCCTGCTGTCAGGGGTACTTCCCACGTGAGCAGCAGCCCTGCTAACCACCCACCCTCATCAACACCCTGCTCTCCCCTTGCAGAGCTGCTCCGCCACGAATCCGTGATGCTCCAAGGGGTGTGAGGCTGGGAACCACAAACCATCCTGCTCTTAATTAAGATAAACCTGCAGCTGATCAATGCAAAGAGTTTTAGGGCTCCCTCTTAATTAAACACTGTCTAGTTTATTGATTGGCCCCAAAAGTTCCCTTTGCAGCAAATCATATCAATTAGTCGGGGGCAGGCGCGCACCAGAGTCCTGCTAATTGAAACACGTTGCCTGCAATGATTTTAAAGTAATCAAGAAATCGAAGCTGGGACTGGGCTCCATCAGCGCGTGGCAGTCCCCAGGCAGGACCATGGCAGGAGGGGACATGTGTGTAGCCCCTTGGGGACAGGGACCTGCCAGGCCCAGCCCAGAACACGCAGAACTGGTGAGGCAGAGCTGGAGGAAAATGGGGCTTTTAGGGGTGCTGGCACCAAATTCAGGAGGGAAGAAGCTCGCCTGTCCCCAGATCACCCCCTGGTTATGGCACCTTCACCTTCCTCAGACCCAGGGGGTTTTCCCAGTCCTTTTTAATTCCCATGACAAGGATGGGAGAGATGAATCCCACTCCAGCTGTGCCTGGAGGATTGCACAGACACCAGGGAGCACCTTCGCCCATGTCCCATACCCATCAGATTTGGTCTTTTGAGGTTGGAAATCCCTCCTGCCACCTAGCTGGGCCCTGGGAAGAGCATTCCCAAACCAGCACCCTCCAACCCACTGCAGTATTAAACCAGAAATCTTCATGCCCAGCAGCTGCCGGTTTTGTTCTCTTGGAAACTGAGAATCACAGGATGGGTTTGATTGGAGGGACCTTAAAGCCCACCCA